CTGTGCTCGATAAGCACTTGGAATCTGTGACACATAAGAAGAAAGTCAGCAACAGTGATGGAAAGCAGCAAACCCTGAAAACGGCATTTCAGTGCAAAACGAAGCCACAAGCTGAGAAGGTGAAAGTGTGTGAGGAGTGGATTCGAGCCTGCACGTCAGCAAATGTACCACTTCACAAGTCCGATAGCCCGATCATGAGACAATTTTTAGACACCCGGGTGGTAAACGGGGGAGCTATTCCAAAGGCTTCACAACTTCGGGACTATTATCTTTTTGATGTGTATCAAGTTGAAAAAAGCGAGTTGAAAAAAAAGATCGAAGGCAAACCTGTAGCACTGATGGTGGATGAGTTGAGTGATGATGAGGGGAGGTACGTACTTGACATAATGGTTGTCATTCTTGATTTTGATGAGTTGTCTCCTTCTGGGAACACTGTGGCTTATTTATTAGATACGCATTTCTTAAGTGCAACTAATAACAAAACGGTATCTCAAGCGGTCGTAAAAACGGTGAATGACTTCAACATTGAGTTTGATAACGTGCGTGTATTCAATTCCGACAACGTTGGATACATGAAGAAGGCATTCAATGACACACTGTCGTGTCTGTTTCCTCTGTGTGTGCACATTACCTGTAATAGTCATGTGGTTAACCTGCTTGCTTCTGACTTCAAGAAAGGCTTTAAAGAGGTCAACGAATTTGTGAAGTGTTTTAGGAATTTGTTCTTTATTCCAAGCGGCAGAAAAAGCAGATTTCTTGCGTTCTTGCGGAATGCTCTTGGCCGTGAGGAGGGAGTCAAAATGCCACCAAACCCAAACACAAAAAGTTGGGGGGCATGGTTCGAGTCCGTTCTTTACCATGCAGAACACTACCTACTTTTTAATGACTTTATAAAAGAGGAACTTGATCGAGGCAGGAATGTTGCATGCAACTCCCTTCTTCGCCTGGAAGAAATGTACAGCGATGAGATCTTTATGAAGAAGCTTGGTGCGCAACTGGAATTTTTGAAAGAGAAGTCACCAACCCTTAAAATTTACATTGACTTTTTTCAACAGAAGGTGCCACACATAACGGAGGTTCACAACAAGATGGAAAGTCTCATGTACTATCTCGAGCAAAACACTCACTTGTCGGAAGACGATCTTGCTTTTTGTTTTCAAAGCAACATCTTCAGTTGTGAGGAGAGGGAGGAACTTGTTCTTCTTGCTAATTCAGCCTTCACTTCTGCCCATGAGAAACTACGAAAGTATGTGGTGGCAGGTGCTCAGCCAGCCTTAGAGTTTCTAAGGCAGGTACGTTTACTTGATCCAAGAAATCTCGTCTTTGCAGACCGCACCATTGATGCAAACGATAGCATTCCTGGATTTGATGCAGTGTCAAGAAACGAATGGAATCTGTATGTAAACCATCTTGGTCCTGAAGCTATCAAAGGCAGCACAGATGGCAACCTAGATCTTGTTCTTTTTTGGAAGTCATGTGCAAGCGACCTTCCCGAGCTCTACAAGATAGCCTCGTGCTATTGCACCGCTACAGCAGGCTCTTACGATGTAGAACGGGCATTTTCTGCATATGATGATATTCTTGATGACAAGCGACGATCCCTAAATCAAAGCACAATCAAAGCATTCCACTTTTTAAATTGGAATCTCCGGGTCCAGTTTTCAGATGAAAAGAAAAAGGATCAACCATCAGCCACAGTGCCCCTCTTGAATAAGCGAATGCCCCAAAGCACCGTAAAACAAACTGCCGAGAAACAGGAACCAAACAGCACTCCAAAGTCACATGTACCAAAGAAAGAAATGAAACAATCCCAGTACACTGAAGACATGGGAAAACCAAAGACACGTGTACCAAAGGAAGAAATGAAACAAGCCCATCACACTGAAAGCATGGGAAAACCAAAGACACATGTACCAAAAGAAGAAATGAAACAAGCTCAGCACACTGAAAGCATGGGAAAACCAAATGACCAAAAAAGGGGAACAAAAAGAAAAATGTCAGATTCCGCCGTTAAAACGAAGAAACCGAAAGAAATGAGCGGGAAGTCTACTATAGCATCTATTAGTAGATTTTGTTTTAGCGGAAGGTCAGCCAGTACTTCCAGTACTTTGTCTGCAACGTGCACAGTGGACTATGGACTAAGCCATGACATAGTAACTGTATTTGCGAGAGAAGATACCTGCGTCTTTCCTCTGTACAAAGAGCCTCTCGTACAATTTTTGCTTGATGACATGACCAGGTTTAAAGGAAGCAACTTAACAGATAAGGAGGACCTACAAGGTCTTACCGGCGGTAATACGACTGATAAGGAGAATTACCTTAATAACTTTATTATTGACGAGTACTTGAAACTCCTTGCAGCTGAAGCTTCTGCACAGGGTTTGAAAGCTGAGACAATTGGATGGGAGCCTTTTGAGAAGGCAGCTGGTCTGAAACCAGCCAGTAACATTTTAAAGGGGAAGGCTCCACTGCTGGAACAAGACATCGTCCTTGTACCTCTCAATCCAGGACAAAGTGAACATTGGTCACTTTTAGTTGTTAAGGCCAAAGAAAGGGAAATGTTTGTTCTCGACAGCCTAGCAGCATCATTTGTGAAGCCATCCACAAAAAACGCAATCGTGAAGATGTGCGATCTCCTACAAGAAATTGATCCTAAGCTAAAGAACGAAGAATGGAATTTCTCTACAAACACACCACAGGACATTCCGCAACAATCAAATTGTTATGATTGTGGCGTTTTTGTTTGTGCATACGCTAGATGCCTACTTTTGAAATCGTCCCTGCCTGATGACTTCACAAGCTTTCGAAAGCATATGGTTCTAGAGCTACATGGCGGTAAAATTCAAGGCTTTGACGAGTTACCTACACCGCAAGAGGAAACGTATTATGCAGTTGAATATCAGAAGTCGTTTTACATTGGCCGTGTCCTTCAAAGATCTGATGATTCACATGCCATGTACAAGTTTCTCCACAAATGCAGTTCCCAAATGTTTGACTGACCAAAGCGCGATGACATCGAAACTTGCCATGATTCGTGTGTCTTCTACGGGCCTGTGTCTGTTGTCGGAAATGCTCCATTTACTAGCCCACAGTTGATGGAGATAGATCAAGTATTTAACTGGCTACGAAAGAGCAAGAAAACAAAGAAATGAAGTAATGATGGAAGCCATTCTTTTAATGGACTTTTCAATCCGTATGTACGAAACGTCTATTGAAAAGCCGAGAACGTTTGTTGTTACTTTTTTTAATTGTGTATTTAAAATGTTT